GAAAAAAAAAAGTCGGAGACGTCATTGTGCCACAAAGAATCGCTGTCACCTGACCAGAACATGACGGCGTTGGGGGAAGAACGACGTCCCACACAGAAGGCAGACAAGACTTGGAACCGGCGCCTCCTAGTCTAGGTGTCTCCCCGGACGGAGGCAGCGCTGGAAGCACCCACGCCTGTTCTCTGCTCAGAAGCTTGGAAGGCAGCTGCCTCGACAAGACCCATGCTTGGGCCTGTCCCAAAGAAGGGTGGCCCGACAGAGTGCAGAGAAGGTTAAGTGCCACGTGCAAGGAAAGTGTGGCCGAGGCAACGCTCAGTGGCACTGAGCAGCAGCAGCCACGTGGGACCCTGGCTCCATCGTCACAGCCTAGGCAGGGTGATTCAGTGTTATTACAGAGCACGGTGCCCACATGTCTAAGGGGCAGGACTCAGCACTTTCACTCACGGATCCCCAGACATTTTGAAGACACCTCCCTTTTTTTTCTTCCTACTTTTTCGTCTTAAATACCCTTATTTTCTCCTCGAAGGCAGACATGAGGTTTCACTCATACCACGGCAGCTCCTCCCCCGGTGGGTAGGTGAGCTCCAGGCGTGGAAGTTCACAGCCTAGGCCTCACAGACGCAGCACGCAGGGCCTGCCCACCCTTGAGACCTGCCCCTGGGCCTCCCCCACACCTGGGCCAGCGCCGGTGGCCTCACCGGCCCGCTGAGGATGGCCGAGGGGTGGGAGGGCCTCCAGGAGCGGTAGCTCGCTGTCCCCGGCGTTGACCCGCGCCCCGTCCCGTCGCAGGCACGGCAGAGAGAGAAGATGAACGAGGAACACAACAAGCGCCTCTCGGACACTGTGGACAAGCTGCTCTCCGAGTCCAACGAGAGGTTGCAGCTGCACCTGAAGGAGCGCATGGCGGCTCTGGAGGACAAGGTGGGTGACCGCCGCCCTGGTGGCTGCCCGGCCTCGTCCTCTCTGCGCACGCACGCACGCACGTGAGGAACGTGTTTCTAGTTCTGGGGACACGGGAAGCCCTCAGCGCTCTGACCGTTCCCACGTGAATGAACCGGAGAGGAGCAGGCAGCTCGATGGCCCCTTTAGCCGATGGTGATTTCAGCCCAGGGCCTGCCCCTTTGTTGCTCTTACACCACCTGTTCATCTCTGCCCCATGGAGAGAGACCCTGGGGCCAAAGGGCCAAATCCATTGAAGCCAGACATTCCACAAAACCTGCATCTTTGTCCCGCATGGGGTCTGCAGGGGACAGCCCTCTCTGGGAGATGCTTCAGCCAGAACTGGGTCTGTGTGGGAGACTCCCCAGTGAGCCTGCGTGTTGGGACACAGCAGAACTCTTATCACCACACTGGCATCTCTAGAGGGCATCACTGGACCCCAGTGCTGGACAGGGGTCCACCTTTACAGGGGGCGTTGATTGGAGTTGTGGAGTGTACAGTGAGGCATCATTTGGGGCTCCCAAGGGCCTGGTGGACTATGGTGCCCGAGTTAAATGATTCCATGACCTTCGCCCTGAACCTCACTCAGGGCACTGCTGGGACCCGCAGGGTGGCAGTTTGAACCCACTGGTCCTCTTAGCATCTGCTTCTGCAGCAAGAACCAGACCCGCTGCACTTGGCCTCCGAGGCCGGCAGTCTTTCCTCACATGGCACAGCCAGGGCGACACCCGGGGTCCTGCGGGGCAGCTCTGCTCCCTTGTGCAGGGTCCTTGTGAGGCGGGTCAGCCTCCTTTAGAAACGGTGGTCAGTGGGGGACAGCTCCCCGGGCAGAGACAAGCACGCTGTGGTCACCGGGCCTCTTGTCAGCACGCCAGCGTGGCTGTGTGGCCCGTGCGCCTCTGGAGCCCCGTTCACGCAGAGGGAGGGGGCACCGTGCAGAAGCGGCACTGACGGCCCTGTCTCTGCAGAACTCGTTGCTGCAGGAAGTGGAAGGCGCCAAGAAGCAGCTCGAAGAAACGCAGCACGACAAGGTGGGTGCCGCTCCCCGCTCCTCAGCGCCGGCCAGAGGGGAGCTGAGCGGGCTCAGTGGGCTGTGACACGTGGCCGTGTGTCTGCTCCGAGTTCTGAGTCCTTTTTGGACATCAGCCTGTGAACACGAGCCTTCTTCTCCGAGCAGCGTGACGTAAGCACACGTCTCCTCGTGTCTCTGTACATCTGTCCCCCAGAACCGGGGAACCCCTGCGTCCACAGCGTGTCGTGAGACGCATGAACAGTGTCCGATCCCAGGAGCCGTTCTCTCTGTCCCGTCCATGCACCCTCTAAACAGCACTGCATGTCACAGCGCCACTCAGGATGGCCACTGAGCTCCAAGACACTCGCAGAGCCGGCTGGGGCTACTCTCAAAGTGCACGTGTGTCTGTGAGGCACTGTGTGTGCGTGCGTGCACACACAGATGCCCCAAACATGGTCCCACACAGTTTGCTGCGTGCCTCCTTTTCTTCACTGTGGTTCTCCGAGAGGCGTGGTGGTATGAGTGCGTGCGTGAGTGTGCATGCGTGTGCCTATGCATCCATGTGTTTGCACGTGTGTGGGCGCATGTGTGCATATGTGGATGTGTGTGTACTCATGCACCCACATGCGTACATGTGTGTGCGCGCGCGAGCGCATGGGCATGTGTACGCATGCACCCATGTGTGTGTGTGTGTGTGTCTGTACACGTGTGCGTGTGTGCTTGTGCGTGCAAGCCCAGCCTCCCGCAGGCCCTGTCCTGGTCCCGAGTTTGGCGGTGCTGCTGGCACGGAGAGTGGGCACGGTGCCCACACGCCCTGCCCTTTGCTCTCCCAGGAGCAGCTCATGCTGAGCGTGGAAGCCCTGCGGGCAGAGTTGGACCAGATGAAGCTGCGAGGGCCGTCCCTTCACCATGGGTACGTACGTTGCTGGCCGGCCTGCCCTGTGACCTCCAACTTCCCCGGCATCAGTGGGACCCTGTCCTGGCCCTGGGTGACGGGCCTGTCCTTATGACGGGGGGTTCCCTGTGAGGGTCTTAGCTAGCCTCCTGGGGGTGTCTCCTCACCTCAGGACAGACCTCAGGAGCAAGGGTGGGGGCCCGGAAGGTGGAGCGCCACCAGCTGGTGTTTGGCTGCTGGGCAAGAACAGAGGATGACCCAGTGTGTCCCAGGTGTCCTAGGAGGGCACCTGCTCCCGTGGACGAGCACAGTCCCTGCCCTTCACATGTGTCTTGTGAAGGAGACGTGTTCTTCATGCGTCATCGACACCTGCCCCGCTCCACCCCCGCCCCGTGTGAATACTCCTCCGTGTCCTGCTGGCCGCCCTGTGCTCCAGAGGCGGATGTCATCCAGCCGGAGCGACAGACGGGCACAGGGCTTTGTGTCAGGCGAGCCCTGGCCGCGTAGTGGTTAGCGTGCTGGGCTCAAACCGCAGTCACTGGCAGCTCCCAGGGAGACAGACAGACGGGCTTTCTACTCTTGTGGAGTCACAGGGCCAGCTCCGCCCTGTCGGCGGGGTCTCAGAGGCAGCTCCGCCCTGTCCTGCGGGTCGATCTGCAGGCAGGGAGCTGGTTTGTATTGTCCGGTGCTGGCTGCGGGGAGCTCCGCGTCGCGGGGGAGAGGGAGAGCGTTGCTGCAGACGGTCCTGTGGTGGTGGGACTGACCCTCCAGGGCAGGAGGCAGGAAGGCAGGTTGGTGGAGAAGGAGCAGCAGGAGCAGGTGAAGGAAGCCCTGAGTGAGCGGCCAGTGCCGTCAGCCTTGCAGAGGGCCCGTGCCCATTGCTCATGTTAGGACAGAGTGACCGGAAGGAATGGGACTGAGTAGGTGGACAGGAAGTGAGTCTCTGGAGGTGAGTGGAGAGAAACCTGTGAAGGACGGGGGCTGTGTACGTGTGCACACAGAGGGCCAGGTGAGGAGCCCTTAGCTCCAGAAACCCCAGAAGGCAGTGGGCGGGACCCGGGCACCTGGTACCGGCGAGGAGGGGCGGGCAGAGCTGCATGTGTGGGGTGGTGGGCACCCAGGCCCGGGGAGGACACAGCAGTGGCCAGCTGTTAGGACACGCCTACGCGTTCTTTGTGACTCTCGGCCAGTCTGGCTTCTGTGCGGAGAGGAAGGGCAGACTCCCTTGGAGAGCTGGAATGGTCATCGGTGGGCGGGCGGTCAGAGCACTGACGGAACCGAAAAACAAGCACTGAATCTTTGGTGGACCTTTTGGGAGAAGCAGCGGTTGACTGTGTCTGCAGGTCCTGTGGAGGGTAGTGGGGGGCTCGGTTTGACCCAGTGAGTGGGGTCTGGTGTCCCAACATGTTTGAGGGGTCTGGCCCTGGGGCCAGGGTGCCCAGGCTAGGAGCCCCTGTAGGGGCTGCCCCTACCCCTAGGGTGGGGTGTGTGTGGGGTTCCATCTTGTCTTTCTACAGCTCCTCCAGCCAGGGTGGCTGGTGGCTGCTCACGGGACCACACACACAGGCTGTGGTGCCTCGCTTGGGCAGTGTCAGCAGGGGAGTCTGGGAGGAGGGTCTGTAGGCAGCGGGAGCCCTGTCTTGGTGTGCTGGCTGGGTGAGGTGGGATACCCCAGCCCTCCACAGAGGTGCTGTCTCCAGGCTGAGTGCTCTCTTCTCACAAGCCCCTTCTGTACCCGTCCATCCAGCCGGCCGCACCTGGGCAGCGTCCCAGACTTCAGGTTCCCAGCGGCCGATGCCCACATGGAGGCCTACAGCACTGGCCCAGTGCTGCGCCGCCCCCAGAAAGGTCGCTTGGCTGCTCTGCGAGACGAGCCATCCAAGGTGAGGACCTGCGCGGCAGGGACTCAAGGGTCCTGGCAGGGTCTAGGGGTGGAGAGGAGGGTTTGAGGGTCCTGGCAGGGTCTAGGGGTCGGGGAGAAGGGTTTGAGGGTCCTGGCAGGGCTGGGGAGGGGGGGGGGTTGGAGCGTCTTGGCAGTGTTATAGGGGGTGTTGGAGGGTCCTGACAGGGCTGTGGCGGGGTTGGAGCGTCTTGGCAGGGGTATAGGGGGTGTTGGAGGGTCCTGGCAGGGATGTCTTTTCAGCACCACTTCCCACGAGCCTGGGTCTTGGGGGCTTTGCTCTATTGTGTGTCTGGTGAGCGTGTACAGCAGGTCTGGATCCCACTGACGTCTCCCCGCCCAGCGGGGGGCTCAGCCCGGCTTGCCCTGTGGCTGCTCAGGCCTCTCCTGCCCACCGCCCTACCTCCCTTGCAGGTACAGACTCTGAATGAGCAGGACTGGGAGCGCGCGCAGCAAGCCAGCGTCCTGGCGAACGTGGCACAGGCATTTGAGAGCGACGTGGACTTGTCTGACGGGGAGGATGACAGGGACACGCTCTTCAGCTCGGTGGACCTGCTGTCGCCCAGCGGACAGGCTGACGCCCAGACCCTGGCCATGATGCTGCAGGAGCAGCTGGACGCCATCAACAAGGAGATCCGGTTTGTGCTGCCCCTCGTAGACACACCCATCTTCACGCAGGCCTGCTGCGGGGTGACCAGGTCCTGCAGACTCAAGGTGCACAGCCGCAGGAGAGCGACCTGCACACGCCTGTCAGCCAGCGGGTGCGGCTAAGGTTGCCTGAGTTATAGGGTACAGGAGCCCCTAGTCTCTGTGCCCAGGTGTTGGGAGCCTGGCTGGAGAGGCCTGGAGGGGGAACTCACCACTCACCCATGACACTTGGTGATACACAGAACAGGCACACGCATACGCATACACACACACACACACACACACATCAGAAGCTATGCTCCCTGGCTGGGTGGGGATTGCCCTTGGCTCGACCCTTCAGTGGAGCCCAAGATGGAGCTTCAGGCTCCACCGTCCTTTGAGGCCACCCCTGGCCCATGGCAGCGTGTCTGCTCTGAGTCCTCTGTTCACTGGGCCCCGGGTCCTCAGCGGCCCAGCAGGAGCCCCTGTTTGGGGGAGGGGGGGCGTGTGTGTGTGTGTGTGTGTGTGTGTGTGTGTGTGTCTGGGTCTGGCCTGGGTCCTGGTCTGCAGAGGTGCTGAGCCCCACTTCCCTGCAGGCTGATCCAGGAAGAGAAGGAGAACGCTGAGCAGCGGGCCGAGGAGATCGAGAGCAGGGTGGGCAGCGGCAGCCTCAGTGACCTTGGCCACTTCCGGCCCCTGGGCTCCGTTCCCCCACACCCCTCCTCGGCACTGGCTGGCTCCTCCCCTCCAGGCAGTGGCCGCTCCACCCCAAGACGCATCCCCCAGAGTCCATCCCGGGAGGTGGACCAGCTGGGCATCATGACGCTGGTGAGCAAGCACATGGCCCCTCCCCCCACCCTGCCCGGCTCAGTCCACCTGGACGCTCCGTCACGAGGGCGCAGGCCTGAAGCCCAGTTCGCGGCGGTCAACATCCTGGTCAGCAAATGCTGGGGGACCCTGAGCGATGGACTCGCCTCACAGAGGTTTCTGTGGCTGCACTGTGTGTGGTCAGTGGCCTCCAAAGGAGCTTCTCTGGGGACGGATGTTTGCAGGGCTCCTGGTGGCCCAATAGCCAGAGATTTGGGCCCAGCCGCGCTCCACGGGAAGAAGAAGAGGCCGTCTGGTCCTGCACAGGCGGGCCTGCCCTGTCCCGGAGGGTCACTGGGGTCGGAGTTGACTTGATGGGGCAGCTTTGGTGTCAGGCTTTTGGGAATAGACAGGGACACAAGTGACCCAGCCTGGGCACAGAAACAGTGTGCCAGAGAGGTGGCATCCATCTCATTGGGGTGCCCTGCTGAGGGAGACAGGATGTGCCAGCCAACAACAGGGATGCACCCTCCGCTCACTGCCTCCCAGCTGGGCCACTCACGGCAGCTGGGAGAGCAGGAAGGTGCCCCCGTGCCACTGGGAGCCCTCTGGGATCTGGACCCGGGCTCCCACCAGGAGGGCCCATGGCTCTGGGGTCTGGCCTGTGCAGGTTTCCTGAAAGCCTTGCCCGTTTGCCGTGCGGACGGCGGGGACAGCGTCCCGCCTGGGGTTAGCAGTCTTGGTTCCCTGTTTCTGGGTCTGCTGCACTGTCGGCCATCGCTGGAGCAGAGGGCGGCGTCTCAGTCAGGGCCCTCCATGCCGAGGGGTTTTGTCCAAGGCTGTCATTCTCGCGCCTCAGCAGAAAGACGAGGCTGTCCGCTCCTGTACAGACTGCAGCCTCTGGACCCACAGCAGCAGTCCTGCTCTGCCACACAGGGTCGCTGGGGGCTGGGACGCTTCCTTCCATTCGTAGAACTTTCCAGATAAAAGACCCGATAGGAATTGCAGGCTGTATGGCTGGGCAACCCCACCTGTCGGGGGTTGGGGGTTGGGGGCCTGTGTCCTGGGGTTCTGCTCATAGCGTGCTGTCAACCTTACCTTTGTGATGGTACAGCCCAGTGCCAGCCGAGGGTGTTGTCAGCTGAGAGTGGGAGTGGCCCGCCCCCTTCTACCATAGGTGCCCCACCAGCTGCTTCCTCGTCAGGTTGTGCAAAGGCACCGGCGTCTGCCCTAACTAGACGGCGCCGAGCAGAGAGTGCTGGCAGAACAGACCTCCCTCGCCAGAGCCTGTAGCTCTGTGCGGAGCGCATTTCTTGAAGGGGACCTCAGGGAAGGGGACGTGGAGTTTCATGTGGGGGAGGGAAAACGCTGTGTCTGGCCCCCTAAGTCCCTGCTTGCTGGCTCGCTCGCCCATGTCTGCCTGGCTGTCCCCGCACGTGTGGGAATGTCCGCAGTAAACCTGCTCTCTCTCTGTCTCTCTGCATGCGTCTCTCAGCCCAGCGACTTAAGGAAGCACCGTAGAAAGGTAATGTGCCCCCAGCCCACCGTGGTCTGTTCCCCACGCGGCCTGTCCTGCAGTGAGCGAGTGACATAGGCTGTGGTGACCTGACCAGGCCTTGATTCCGATGGGTACCGGCCATGTCTGGTCTCCAGAGCAAACCAGGCTGCCGCCGAATGTGCCCTGCGCTCCAGCTGTCAGCTCCAGCCAGTGTTGTTCCTGCCGCCGCCGCAGCAGGCTGTCTGTGGCTTTGCACTTGGAGGGTCCTCACTAGCATTCATCCAGCTGGGACTGTGTGCCAGGCACTGTGCCCACCCCAGTCCACAGACAGCAGGCTGAGGCTGCAAGCCCTGCTCCCGGGGAGAGCCCTGGCCAGCTGACCACAGGGTCTCTGCACACCCCGGACGGCCCAGCACCCTCCTTCCCCACTCTGGTGTGCCGAGGGCCCAGGCCCCACTGGGCACCGTGCAGAGGGTGAGGCTTTAGCCCAGAGTCAGGTCCCTGTGTGAGCAGGTGTCTGCACAGCCTCAGACTGCCGACTCATCATGATGGCAGCCCTGACCTCGGGGCTTGCACAGTCCAACAGGACGCAGCTCAGGGCTGCCACCCTCTCGGCTGCCCCCAGGGATACCCCGGGTCTGCTCTCAGGCCAGAATCTGAAGCTTGTCCCCGGCTTCCCCGTCACGCAATCTGGCCTTCCCAGCCCTCTCCTTGTCTCATAACCACCTTCTTTCAGAAAAAGGTGACTCACCCTCGCCTTCCCCAACCCGTGCGATGAAACCTTTTGTTCTCTGGGCCATCGTCCAGGATAGTGTAGGTCTCTGCTTCCGTTCCGGCACCGCCCCCTGGAAGCACTGGTTTATAAGAATGCGTGTGCGGGTGGAGTCTGTGTCAGAACCTCCGGCCCGCCTGGGGCTCTACCGCTGGGCCTCCCAAGGGTGACTGGGCCCAGAGGGGAATGAAAGCGGGGTGGGAGTGGGGTGCGTGCGTGCGTGTGTATGCGTGTCTGGGCACCTGTGTCAGGCGTGGCAGTGAGGCTGCCCTGGATGCTCCTTTCCGGAGGGCGCGGTGGCAGGGCGTGGTTCTGTCCACAAGCTCGTCGGCTCTTGGGGAGCCATGGTGGTGCAGTGGTTGAGCCCCAGACCCCCTGAGCACCCGCTGCGCTGCAGGGGAGAGACAGGCTGTCTGCTTCCACTAGGGAGGGACCCGGTGGGTGTTGTGTGCCGTGCGGCGGTCTCTGTGAGTCAGACCGTTGTTGTCGGCTGCCTCAGGAGAAGGGCAGGAGCCGGGTGTCCTGGAGAGCAAACCCGGACTGAAACCCAGGGGCTTCACCCAGCTCCCCACAGCCTCCAGTGCTGTGCTTGGGAGACCAAGGCCCGGCGGGGGGGTGTCCACGGTCCGGCGAGAGTGACCGTCTGCTCGCCCGTCACCCGCAGTTGCTGGCTTCCCGAGAGGAGGTACGAGACGACAAGACCACGGTCAGATGCGAGACGTCCCCACCCTCGTCCCCGCGCTCCCTCCGGCTGCACAGGGGGGCCTTGCACGCGGCCAGCCACGAGGACATCAGGGATATCCGCAAGTAAGGGCCCCGCCAAGTCCTTCGAGGATGCATCCTTGGGGAGGCAGGGACCCAGGCAGGGGCTTTCACAGCTCTGGTCCACCAGTCTGGCCGGCCCCTCGGCCGCTGGTCCTGCAGACTGGCCTCCATCCAGCTGCTCTTGATGGGACTTGTGGAGCAAACAAGCCCTTTCTCCGGGTGTGAGGGCCGGGCTGCTTGGTTAGGCCAATGGACACTTGGTTGGTGACGTTCAGGTGCCTCTGCCCTCTTGGGGACACCTATGCCCAGCGTGCTAACTTCAAGGAGCAGTCAATGAGTCTGATCCTACACACTCCTCTCCCTCCACACTGACATGGCCCCTCCCACACTGACACACCTCTTCCCATACTGATACTCCCCCTCCACGCTAGCACACCCCCTCTCACACCCCCTCCCATGCTGACACGCCCCCAGACACCTGTACACCCCCTCCCACGCCGATATGCCCCCTCCACACCAGCCACTAGGGGCTTGGAGGTGGGCTAGGTGGCACCTGTGGGCTCTCCTGTCACTGCCCGCCTGGTAGTGCTTGCTGCTGCACGTCACACTGGTGGTGGGGGCTGGGATGCTGGAGCTGGGCACCTGGACTTTCAGGAGCCAAGGCTGGGCTGACTTCACTTGTTGCCCTCCTGGTTGTCCAGGGGCCCTGGGCTCACCCCTGACAGGACAGCAGCCGGTGAGCAGGGCTGCTTGCCCTCCCTCTTCCGCGTGTGGTGCTGGCGTGCTCGGCCAGTCCCCTGGGCCCGGGCGTGAGTGAACGGACATGAACCGCTGCCTCTGCAGCAAGAGGCAGTGTCACAGCTGTGAGCCCAGCCGGTGCGGCTGAGTGCGACACAGGGCAGGCTGACGCTGCCCCACAGCCCACAGAGCGCTGACCCTGGGTACCAAAGGCTGCATCTGCAGAGCAGCTCTGCCGCTTCATGGTTACTGGTTGGGCTGCTAACCGCAAGATCACAAGTTCGAAACCACCAGATCCTCCTCAGGAGTAGAGAGTGACCGTCTCAGAAACCCACAGGGCAGATGCACCCTGTAGTGGGCATCGGCCGGTCAGCAGGGAGTCACCTTGCTGTGTGGCACACAGAAGACCTGAGGGAGGCAGAACAGGGGCTTCCCGGGTAGAGTTGTGAGTTCTGGCCTCTGTCAGAGTGGGAGGCAGAGAGTAGAGTGAGAGAGTTGTGAATTATCACAGCATGCCGTATTAGCTGGGGTGCAGAATCACAAACAGCTTCACTACAATCTGTCCAACAGTGAAGAAAGATGGAAGAAAATCTATTTGAGAAAGGGGGAGTCGGACGGATGGGTGAATGGGTACTGCAGCAACCACGGAAGGTGTTGGTGTGTGTGTGCATGTGTGCACGTGCAGGTTGGAGGTCACTCCCCTCTCTCGCAGCTCCACAGGCTCCCAGGACGGCCCCGTGAGCAACCCCAGCAGCAGCAGCAGCAGCCAGGACTCGCTGCACAAAGCCCCCAAGAGGAAGGGTATCAAATCCTCCATCGGCCGCCTCTTTGGCAAGAAGGAGAAGGGCCGGCCTGGCCCAGCTGGCAAGGAAGCCCTGGGGCAAGGTGGGTGGTTTCTGGGCGCTTCTAGGCTCCTTGGGATAGGTGAGGGGGTGGGGGACATGTGTGCTTGACCAGAGCTCCGTGGGGCCATTTCTTACATGCGCATACACTCACAAACCCACACTCACACACATACACTGACAGTCAGTCACACACACATAGACTCAGACAAAAAAACACTCAACCAGACACAGACTCACACACATAAACCCACACACACTCACACAACATTCACACACATAGACTCACACCACTCATACACATAAACTCACACAACACACACTCACAATCACACCACTCAGACTCACACACACATAAACTCACACATATCACTGCTCTCTGGAGCGGAACCCACGGGACACGTGCGGGGCAGGGTGTGTGCTGACTGCGCTGCCAACGCTGATTTCTTCCCCCAGCCAGCGGGGCTGAGACGGAGACCGCTTCTCCAGACGCCTTGGGCATTAGCAAATTGGGGGGACAGGCGGAAAAGAATCGTAAACTTCAAAAAAAGTAAGCGGAGTTTCCCCTTCCCTGGGCCTTGGGGGTCTGTTCATCAGCAAGAACTCATTTCCCACAACCAGGCTGTCCCGTCGTCCCCCCCCCC